ACTAGTGTGTATAATACATTGGTATCTCCTACGTGTAGCAACATGTAGGTCACGTGACATCTACCCTGTTCCTCGAATCCCATGGTTGTCGTATATCTGGTAATCAGAGGGAAAACACAATTAGAACACTTTTAAAGATTGATTTCAGCACAAATGATTATAACACACATAGCACAAGAAACTATCACATAATCCAGCTATCCAGCAAAACACACAGTGAGCATGCAAAAAGCAAGCTAGCTTTCGACTGCACCGGCTTCCTTTTAAAGTAGGGAAGTCTGCTTGTGATTGGTCAATGATGATGTCATCGCAAATGGTAATGATGACTGGCATCTAGCTTGGTCAATAGGTAGATGAGCTGGGCGGACCTAAAGAAATTGATAGGTAGAGAAGGAGGGAGAAAGAGAAAAAAATACAAAACACACACAGGCACAGATACTGAGCCGTAACAATGTGTGAATGAGTGTGTATGGGTGTTTCTCAGTGATGGGTTGCAGCTGGAAGGGCAGTCGCTGTGTAAAACATATGCTGGATAAGTTGGCAGTTCATTTCGCTGTAGAAAACCAGTCATGATAGAAACCAGTCATTTTAAAGTGTTATAATATTTCCAAATATAACTGATTGTACAGAAAGTGAAATAAATATAAAAATGTACACCCTTCACCTTAGAACACTGCGATGACGGTATTAAATTGTGATTTTTTCCTAAACTGAATACGGGCTTTTAAAAAAACAAAGAAAGACTGAGCTGAGATGCAGCCGGAATGCAATTAGGAGACTTTTCAGCAAGACAAGAAAAACAAATGCGGAAATAAGTCCGAGCAGAATCCACTGAGACTGGGTGATTAAGCCTGGCTTGGATGTCCCCTATGCCCCTTACACACACACTTTCCATCCCCCTTTCCCAGATGAGACACGAGACAGTCGCTAACTCGGATCGAAGACCCACCATAGTCTGGATTATGTGTCAATTTACCACCCAGCTGCAGTGGCAGTGTCTCCCTTGCCGAACATGACTAGCTCTAATTAGGCCGTGCTACCAATTACTGCTGATCCCAAGTCAGAATGAACAGAAAGAGAGAGAGAGAAACAAAGACATACACCATTGTTTCGCTTTCTATACCCAAACGCTGTGCTAAATGTGTGCAGTAATCCATCATTTTGAGCTTAACAAGTTTAACACGCTCTTACAGTATGTAGCATTCAGTAGAACCTAACTACTGCTGGAGCAATTTAGTTGTTCCTGAAACCTAACTACTCAATAAGTTATGAAAGGTCGTAAAGTCATTACAAATAAGCATTGTTAAACCACTGTAGACTGAAATACAGTTACTGTCAGTTATGCTTGTAATAATAAGGATATATGGCAAATAATAAAATACGACCGTGAGAGAACTATGGATCTTCAACAGTGTTTTATGGATTTTCACACTGAGTGTGACACAATAAGGTGTTGTAAATCCATAGACTGTTACATATATGGACGTAGTATCTGTGACCTCACCCATAGGTTTCTGAAGATTGCAAAAGAAGCTACAAGAAGGCTAGGCCAACTATCATTATTTTGTTCACGCATCATCGCACCAAACAAGGGTAAAGAGGCGGAGCGTGAATTACTCCATTTCATTGTCCGCACGGTCTCATAATAAAGTAAACACTTTAGGAGATATCTATGATGACAATGGTTTAAAATCCTTCCAGAACCTTAAAACTCAATATAATTTGCCAGGCACCTTCTTTTTTTATGTTTCTGCGCATCAGATCAGCTCATCTGGCTTATGGGGTACCTTGGAACTCTCAACTATCTATTCACCCATTACGTAAATTAATCCTTCCTTCTGACAAGTCTCCCTCCTCTGCTTCAGTTATCTATATCTTTCTTCTTGAGCATTCATACAAACATCTACCTATCACAACTGTTTGGGCTAAGGACCCTAATGAGGATGTACACGTTTTATTTTCAGATCAGGTATGGGAGAGGTTTAAAATGTCTTCTAGAAATCCTAATCACCAAATTATACACTGGAAAATTGCTGCATAGGTTCTACTTGACTCCAAAGAAACGTTTTTAAATGAACCTCTCATCTTCTTCTAATTGTAATCTCTGTTTACAAGGATCTTTAGGCACTTTGTTACATTTCTTTTGGAAATGTCCCTTTCTGTCTCCTTTCTGGACTCAGCTCTCACAGAATTTATCATATTTGTTGGGAACTCAGATATGTTTGACTTCACTTCATTTTTTCATGAATGACTTTTGGGACCTTACTTTGTCCTTTCAACAAAGATGTCTTTTGTTAACTACTCTCACAGCAGCAAAAAAATTGCTGGTCAACCGCTGGAATCCTTCTCATACTATGGACAGACGAACCTGGACTGTTTATTTGTTGGACATTCTCTCGATGGAACTCTCAACTACCCGCATACATGGTGTTAATATGAAAACTGTCAGTATATGGCGTTCAGCCTTCGATGTTGTGTCATCCTTTTTGAAGTCTTTGTAAAATTCCTTTGTAAAATTATTTGATTTGTTTATATATTTATTATTATTATTATTATTATTATTATTATTTTATACTTTTGAAGTCTACCAGGGGTGGGATGGGTGGGTGTGGGTTTTAAATTTACACTTTTTTTTTCTTTCCGTTTTATATTGTTTCCTGAAAAACTCAATAAACAGTAGTTAACAAAAAAAAAAAAAAGAGGCGGAGCGTGAAAGGAGCTACAGATGCCTTCTAGCATTCTGCTTGAACTGGCTTTTCTTTGGGAGAAATGCTTAATACTTCATCACCTTGTTTGTGTTCTGACCACATGTGCTTGGTTGTATACTATATCTATAAAGTGTTTAAACTTTTAAAAATACTGTTGTAATACATTGAGCCACTAAGCACTGTTCTTTTGACGTTTTTCTAAAGGAGGAAAACGTGAATACTTTCCAAACACTTAAAATATAGTCGGTGTTAGTAAATTTATGAAATCCAGGCAGGCACTCTATGACAACGTTTCAAATGACTGTTCTATAGCCTACAGATAATCTATCTGTATTCAAGTTCTAAAGAAAAATGTAAATGATAAATGATCTTAAATAAAACAAATACATTTATAGATATGATATATAGGTATATAATTTCACTGACCTGGGAAACGGAGGCCACGTGATTGGTTTGTAAACACAATTAAGTTCACACAGCATGCCACATCATTGTAAGAAATAATTCCAAATAGCAACAGTCTGTGTAAAGTCACATAAACAAAACAAAAATGCGATGTATATGCTGAGTGCTGAGGTGAAGTGACAACAACCAGCGAGATCTAGCTGTCACTCAAGTGACCATGCCCTTTATGCAGACTAGGGCCCAATCCCAATTCTACCCCTTAGCCCTTCCCCTTACCCCTGCCCCTCGTTTTGCGCGTGCCCGTGAAGGGGTAGTTGGGTTTAGAGGCAGGGTTGGGTACAATGCCTCCTTTTTAAAATGGGACATTTTTTGTACAACAGAACTCGTACGACTTCATACACTAACCCGACAAACGTAAAGATAAGTCATGAGATCAGGCTGTTAAACCCCATCATTGTTGAGTGTTCATAATTACTTACAAAAACAATCTAATGGCGCATTTCCACTGACCGGTGTGGTACAGGTCAACTCTTTCAAGCTTGCATTTCCACTGCCAAAAGGGTAACAATGGGGTGGGCGTGGTGTACGACAGAAAGTTTAAGTCAACGTTATTCTCACGTAAGGAAATCTTGCTCAAAGTAAAGCTTAACAGGTCGTTCACGTATCATATGAGAAGCACTTCTCACAAAAAAAGATGCTTTATACACATAAATACTTGTGCATTCATGTTCAATATATAACTTTTCAATGAACATAATTTGATCATAACTGCAGATCAATGTAAAAATAGCCTACTGTAACGTCTGTAATTATATATAATAAATAAATGCAGCACATATGAACACATACAGACCCTAGAGACTGTCTTTGATATGCAATAATTACAGAAAAACTACACACAGCAGACATTTAGTCCTTATTTGGATTCAAAAACAACAGGCAACATGTAGCCCACAGTCTGTGCAAACCTCTCATCTGTATCCTTATTCTTTACCGGCACATGTAACCTCTTGTTAGAAAATAATTCTGTCATTGCGAGTTTACAATAGTCCAAAAGGTGATGATAATAGTTAAAGGTGGCAGTTTGTTTATGGATTAGGTTGCTGAAAGAATCATTTGCTTCTTTGTTTTATCAGGCTTCTCCTTTGTTTTTTTCGCGCTTCACTCTCGCATTTGTCTATTTCTGAAAGGATCAGATGTCAGAAGCACTTCAATAATCACGTGCACATTAGTTATTAAAAGTTCGTTATTTCAACTATAGACGCACACACGAGCGATTGCGAGCTCCCTGGAGAAAGTGAAACCGCTCACACTTTAAGACGGCCTCATAAAACAAAAACAGGACACACCAGATTTTGTTCTTCTTGGCTTTGTGGCTGTTCAATGACAGGGTTTGTTTGAGCATGGGTCAACCATGGCTCATTATTATTTGTGTATATTATTGTGATGCATTTGGCCTGCATTTCATTTTTCACTTCAGCAACCTTTTTTAGTAATGATAAGGAAAAAAAGAGCAAACCTAATTTATGTTCCATGCTAACTTTAAGAAGTACATTTACATATTAGATCATATACAGCATTTCGTTCTTTATCGTCAATGCAGTAACCTGACTGTAAAGCAGCTACTTAGCATTGATTAGCATTTTGTTTAGCTACAATAAAGTAGCTTCTTCAACACTGCTTAGAATTCTGTATTAACCAATACTGGAAACTGAAAATTTGTATTGTATAACATAGTTAACAACACTACCCTTATTTGGAACGAGTCACTTTATTGAGAGCAGTTTTCCCAGAAGTACTTTTCTCCTCTGTCACCTTTCCTGTGTAACAGTGGTTTGTTTATAAACCTGTCTCTGTCTTTCTCTCCCCCTGTCTATCTCTCTGCAGGTAGTCAGGCTCAGTTCCCCATCACCCAGAATGTGACGGTGGTTGAGGGCAGCACGGCAAACATGACCTGCCGAGTGGATTATAATGATAACACCTCCCTCCAGTGGTCAAATCCAGCACAACAGACCCTCTTCTTTGGGGACAAGAAAGGTGAGTGTGGGCTGCTGTAAATCAGTCTGGTGTGTTGAGCGTGCAGCTGAACCAGAGTGGGTTACTGGGTCGGGTCGAGAGGAAATCTGCTGTGTAAGGATGAGTTCGGGCTCAAGACTAATGAGACTAAGCATCCATGTGTTTGCTCTCTCTTTCTCTAGCTCTCTCAGATGAGCCGGGCAAACAAACAAACCAATCAATTGTTCGATTCATAGCATCCACATCAGCACTGCAATAACAAAAGCAATTTAGCATCATTAAAGGTTCTCTAGTGGTGACGGATGAAGTGTTGCTCTGTAAGTCTTCCGGGATATGCACTCAACACACAACAGTGTGTTTACAACTGATTTTATGGCTTCCTACTGCAGACTAAAGTGCTTTATACTAATTTAAAGGAACACGCCACTATTTTTTTTTTAACAGGCTCATATTAAAAGTCATCTAGATTTAAAAGGTTGAGTTTTACCATTTTTTTAGTTCATTTAGTTGATCTATGGGTCTGGTAGCTTAGCTTAGCATAGATCATTAAATTGGATTACATCATTAGCATAAAGCTTGACACCTCTGTATTCACATTGTGCACAAAGAGAGACAGAAATTGAAACATTGCTTTTTTTCTAGCTCAAAAAAGTCTAGGAACTATATTTTCATGACATCCAAGGAACGTAACTTTCAAGGAACGTTGTTGTCCTGATATTGCTGCAAGAGATACAGTGATATTACGCTGTGCCTGAAAATAGTCCCGAGCTAGGGAGCTAGGCAAGGGTGCTGTGTAATCTCATTGCGCCTCATTGCGCCTGCTTTAGCCATGGTACAGCAGCAAAGTCCCTAGATTATTACACCAGAATGAGAGTATACAGTGCATCTGGAAAATATTCAAAGCCCTTGACTTTTTCCACATTTTTTATGTTACAACTTTATTCCAAAATGGATTAAATTAATGTATGTCCTTAAATTTCTACACAAAATACCCCATAATGACAATGTGAAAAAAGATTTTTCTGAAATTGTTGCAAATTTATTATAAATATGAAACCTGAAAAATCGCAATTACAGCCTCAAGTCTTTTTGAATATGATGCCACAAGCTTGGCACACCTTTGGTAATTTTTGCCCATTCCTATTTGCAGCACCTCTCAAGCTCTATCAGGTTGGATGGGATGCGACAGTGTACAGCTATTTTTAGATCTCTCCAGAGTTGTTCAATAGGATTTAGGTCTGGGCTCTGGCTGGGCCACACAAGGACATTCACCGAGTTGTTGTGAAGCCACTCCATTAATATTTTAGTGGTGTGTTCTGGGTCATAGTCTTGCTGGAAGATGCACCTCAGTCTTGAGGTCAAGAGCACTCTGAAGCAGGTCTTCATTCAGGATGTCTCTGTACATTGCTGCATTCATCTTTCCCTTTATCCTGACTAGTCTTCCAGTTCCTGCTGCTGAAAAACATCCCCACACCACCATGCTTCCCTGTAGGGATGTATTAGTCTGGTAATGAACCTGGTTTTCTCCAAACATAACGCCTGGCATTCACTCCAAAGTGTTTAAGTTTCGATTTGTCAGACCAGAGAATTTTGTTTCTTATGATCTGAGGGTCCTTCAGATGCCTTTTGGCAAATTCCAGGTGGGGAATGGCTTCCGTCAGACTACTCTACTGTACAGGCCTGATTGGTGGATTGCTGCACAGATGGTTGTCCTTCTGTAAGGTTGTCCTCTCTCCACAGAAAAACGCTGGAGCTCAGACAGAGTGACAGAGTTATCGATCACTTCACTGACTAAGGCCTTTCTCCCCCGATCACTCAGTTTAGATGGCCGGCCAGCTCTAGGAAGAGTCCTGGTGGTTCCAAACATCTTCTACTTACGGATGATGGAGGCCACTGTGCTCATTGGAACATTCATTGGAACAGCAGATTTATTTTTCTGTAACCTTCCCCAGCCTTGTGGTTCAAGACAATCCTGTCTCGGAGGTCTACAGACAATCCCTTTGTCTTCATGCTTGGTTTGTGCTTTGACATGCACTGTCAACCCTGGGATCTTATACGGACAGGTGTACGCCTTTTCAAATCATGTCCAATAAACTGAATTTACCACAGGTGAACTCCAATTAAGCTGCTGAAACATCTTAAGAATAATCAGTGGAAACAGAATGGACCTGAGCTCAATTTAGAGCTACACGGCATAGGCTGTGAATACTTCTGTACATGTGATTTTTCAGGTTTTTCATTTTTAATATTTCAAAAATTATTTTTTCACATTGTCATTATGGAATATTGTGTATAGAATTCTGAGGAAATAAACATATTTAATTCATTTTAGACAGGCCGTACCATAAAATAATGTGGAAAAAGTGAAGCACTATGAATACTTTCCGGGTATACTCTCATTCTCAGCCATATTGACTTAGAAAATAGGAGCTTTTAATATTTCATCAGCCTTATTACAAGATCTAACTACAGTAGTCAAGCCTTAAATAGGAAAATTATCAAAACTTTTTTGATTTTTACATTTCTGAACAAAATGCTAATGGTCTAATTTAATTCAATGATCTATGCCAAGCTAAGCTAATAGTGCTCCTGTCAGACTGGTAAAATCCAACTGTTAAGCTCTTGAAGACTTGTAAAATGTGGCTATTTCCAAACAAAAGTGGAGTGAGTGTTCCTCTTAAATCTGTTCTATGGCCTACATACATAAATTGCTGGTATGGATTAATTACCAAATGAAATAGCATAATGACAAATTGCTGTTTTTTTTTCTTTCTTTTAGTCTGCAGGCACTGTGTTAGTCCCACCTGAGCTACAGGCAACTTATAAGCCACTGTTACAGAAACTGTTCACACAGGACAAGTTTGTGTGTTCAGAGAGAGCTAGATGGAGCAGAGCCGCACGGAGCACAAATCAGCAGTCCCAGGGTGCATTTTCAAAGCTGAACTACTTTTAACTTGACATGGCATCTTAAAAACGTAAGATGCATCTTAAGAAAGCAAGGCACAAGATGCTGAAAACAGAGAGATGCAGCATCAGTCTGACTTGTGCATATAAACAAGCTGTCTATAGACTTTAATGCTATGGAAGTGAATCAAATGAACAATGATTTTTGAACATCTATTCAAATAAAACTTTTCATCTATCCATCTAACATTATTTCTGCCAATCTCTCCATTCATCTGTCCATCTATACTTCTATCAATTTATCTATGCTTCCAGCCATTCAGATGTTTTCTTTATCTGTTCATCAAACTTTTCGTTTATTCATTATTTTGTCTGTCCATCCATCAATCTTTCTGATTATTTCTCATATACTTTATCTATTGTATCTGTCTTCTGGTTCATTCATTCATTCATTCATTCATTCATTCATTCATTCATTCATTCATTCATTCATTCATTCATTCATTCATTCATTCATTCATTCATTCATCTGTCTATCCATCTGTCCATTCAAACTCTTCATTCATCCAATCAATTTATCTGTTGTCCTCCTATCCATTTGTTTGTTTACCATCCATCTATCCATTCATTTGTCAATCCATCCATCCATCCATCCATCCATCCATCCATCCATTTGTACACCCATCCATTCTTCTGGTAATCTATCTGTCTATGCTTGTCCATCCATACATCCATCCTCTGTCCATTTTCAATTCATCTGTCAATCTCCCTCTATCCATCCATCATTCTGAAAATCTATTTGTCTGTCTGTTTGTTTGTCCATCCATCCGTTTATGCTTCTAAACAACAAACTGTCTGTCTGCTTGTCAATCCATCCATCTGTCCATCCATCCTCCATCCTCCATCCTTCCATCTATCTGTTCTGTCCATATTCTCATACAGATATTTAGCATGTATTTGTTCATCATTACATGCATATATCCATCCATCTACACCTCCCTCCATCCATCATTTTGAACATATGTGTGATTGTCCATCTGTTTGTCTGTCCATCCATCCATCCATCCATCCATCCATGCATCCATCTATCTTTCTATTCATATATCCTTCTGTTCATCTACTCATACAGCTATTTAGCATCTATCTGTTTATTATTACATGTATAAATCCATCCATTTATACCTCCCTCCCTCCTGCCAACATCTGTCTGTTTGTCCATCCATCCATCCATCCATCAATTTTTTTATTTATCTATCTTCCTGTAGATCTATTCATCAGCTATTTAGCATCTATGTTTATTATTACTTGCAAATATCCATCCATTTATTCCTCTTTCCATCATTTTGCATATATGTCTGTCCATCCATCTGTCAGTCCATCAATCCATCCATTCATTCATTAATCATTCTATCCATCCATGAATCAATTTATCCATTATTCTATCAATCTGTCTATCCTATCATTCCATCCATCCATTAATTTTTCCTTCCGTCCATCTATTCATACAGATTTTTAGGATATATCCATTCATTATCCATCGATCCACCAATAATTTTATCCATCCATCACCATTTCCATTCATTTATCCTTCTGTCCATCTACTCATACAGTTATTTAGAATCTATTTGTTCATTATGCATATATCCATCCATTGCACATACACATGCATATATCCATTCATGTATACCTCCCTCAATCAGTCCATCATTTTAAACATCTGTATGTTTGTCCATCCATCTGTATATCCATCCATCCATCCATCCTATCATTCATCCATCTTATTAATCTGTCCTATCCATCTATCTGTCCATCCATCTGTCTATCCATCCATCCATCCATTGCCGTCCGTCTGTCCATCCATCTGTCCGTCCATCTGTCCATCCATCCATCCATCCATCCATCCATCCATCCATCCATCCATCCATCCATCCATCCATCCATCCATCCATTCATCCTTCTTTCCATTTGTTTATCCTTCTGTCCATCTACTCATACAGCTATTAGCATCTAGCCATTCTTTATTAAATGTATATATCCGTCCATTTACCCCTCCAACCATGCATCCATCCACCATCCTTCATTTCTCTGTCCATCTATCCATTTACCATATATGCATT